CATACATACATCATTGGTTTTACATTTTTAGAGAACCTAGCATAAAACACTGAACAGAGAGTACAAGCTGTTTGTTAAAGTCCATCTTCTGGAACATCTTGAGCCTCACCCAGGTTCATGCGTATGAAGTGTCCTACTCACAGAAATGATAGACTTCATTTTGGAGCATCCTATCCTTTCTTCTACAAGATTTTCCTATTTGGGGCCAATTCTCTCTTGAGTGCTGCCATGGAGTCCTATGCTTTGTAGTATTAATCTGAATCTTCCTGGAGAAGGACATCATATTTGGTAAAGCAAAGAGACAGTTGACATAAAAAAGATTGATTGACACAGTAGCTGCAACAATCGGCTCAAACATAAGAATCACCGTGAAGAGGATGCAAAATCGCATGGTGTTTCCGTCTGTTGTACACGGAGTGGCTGAGTTGGAGCCAATTCGATGACACCTAACAATAACAACAAGGCCAATCTTACCTTCCTTGTAGCCAGACTCTTCTAGGGACAAAGGGTGGGGGTGAGGTTTTAAAATGAGGTCTCTGGGTCTTCTTCTGCTATTTTGCCCAGGCGCCTCTCAAAGTTCACTTCCATCAAGGAGATTCTGATTCAGACTGACCTTGGAGGGCACGCTAGAGCTGCCTGTGTAGGTTTCTGACACTGTCACCCTTTACGGGAGTAGAAAGCCTCATTATTCCTTTCTTTCTTGTCTCACAGAGTGACTGTCAGTTTCAAACTGACGAGCTTGCAGCCAGGAACCCAACAGTTCACCCACGACACCCCCAAGTTCCCACACGTGCACCAGTAGATCCTAACCCCTTTCTTAGCATATCAGGCTTAGCGTATCTTAGCATGATTAGTCCATGGTGTCTTGTAGGGTCAAAGGTTATACATAATTCGACAGCAAAAAGAACCATGAGATCTTTGACAATTAAAGAACCACCATTTAGTAAGCGCTTACTGTGTATCAGACTTGTGCTAAGCACTCAGATGAATTTACTCCCTGAGTCTCAACTACAATCCTGTGAGATAAATAAAGTACTATTTTATTTTTTACAAATACAGATATTTAGAAAGTTACGGTACTGTTCCAAGGATATAAAAAGATAAATGAGAGAACTGGGATTAAAAGAACCCTTCCACCTTTCCAAAGATGTATTTTCCCCATTATGGAAACTCTGGTACAAACACATGCACTAATCGTTAATCAAATGATTGTTTTTGACTGATAATCCACCATCCCTCGTCTCTTGAAGGACAACCTAAGCACTAATTGCTTCTTCCCAGTTCTTATGCCAGTTGATTTCCTGTGGAATTTAATCTTGGTTATTCTATATACAAATTTATTATGACCATTTTCCCATCTAAACAGGGACACCCCTTCCTCCAACAATTTCATGTTTTCTCCTGGGTTCTTAAGCTCTCCCTATTTCCCAAGCCCATTCTTTTCCTTGGCCCCCTCCTCCTAGCATGTAAACATACTTCTGTTTATCTCGTTAAACAAAACCAAACTCACTGCTGTCAAGTTGATTCCAAATCATAGGGAGCCTAGAGGACAAAGTAGAATCATTCCACAGGCTTTCAAAGGCAGGATACCTGGTAGCACATTGGTTAAAGCACTCAGACACTAACTGCAAGGTCAGCTGTTTGAAGCCACCAGCTACTTTGCAGGATCTATATGTGGCCGTTGCTTCAATAACAATTGCAGCCTTACTTGTCTAGGGCACAGTTCGACTCTGTCCTATAGAGCCCCGATGCGTGAGAACCGACTCGATGGCAGTGAGTTTGGTTGTCAGTCTTGATGGAAGCATTCTGCCACATTGTTCTCTCCTGGAGCCATTGGTGGGTTTAAACCAGGGCTTTGAATAGGCGTATTACACTTGACCCCCTGCTGAGAACCTGCATTTTAATCCCAGATATACTGATTCTGAATTTACTTTTGAGCAAGCGCCCCCGGACATGTTTCTCTCATGAAAACATAATGTAACCATAACCATGACTTTGCCTTTCTTCTGCTGCCCATGACATTGCTGCTTTTAAATCTCTTCACTCTCCAGGCCATTATCAGCTCAGTACTACATCAAGCATGTCATTGAAACTGCTCTTTCCAAGATCAACAATAATCTCTAATTACAAATCCGATACGAACTGTTCCGTCCTTATCTAACACGATCTCTCTGAACGTCTCAGTGACAGTTTAAAGTCAATAAGCTTAAAAATCAACTTACTGGTTTCAGCCGACACTCAGTTTCGTTTTGACTTCAGTGTCCTCTCGTGTTTTATTGAATCTATGTACTGTCCTGTTTGAGTAGAGTGGTCGTCTGGTATCTGCCAACACACATGCCTCTCATTTGTCCGGTTATTTCACTACCTTATCATTTCCAGCATGGCCCAGGCAATCATCATTAATTCTTAACTGGAGGCATGCCAATATCACTGGGCAACTTACACCAAACAAACCAATCCCTAATTCCAGACCATTAAAGGATTGCTGAAAAGAGGTAAAATGCATTTTTGATTTTGATTTTCCGAAAGGCTCCTAAAGTACTTTGACATTGTCACTAAGTGTGGCAATGTAATACTGATATGGATACGGATGGTGTAGACACTGGGAAAGCTAGAGAAATGGTGCCTAGAATCCTGCTGGGATATTTTCACAATTTCTTGCAGATTTAAATTATTTAAAAATTATGAAAAGTATTTACAGTTTTTAAAGGTTAAGTAGAGTAATATTTGAAATTCTGGTACATACTCTTTATATAATAACTTTCAGAATATAAGCAGAGCATTATCTTTAACTATTTCCATAACAAAATAAATTTTGCATCATTTTACCACATCGTGTCAGTTGTAACTCATGGTTTAAATTTAGGCAAGAAGCACAAGTATGAATATATCTATTTCATTTGTTTCCTAACCAAGAAGCAAATCAAATATTGGAACCTTGTGTAAATGGCAAGCTTTGCCATGAATTCTTATTAAAGGAAGATTGAAGAATTTATGACAGCTTCACCATGAATTCAGTGTTCTTTTTCACTAGAAACCAAAGTGCTTTTAAAAGAAAACACAAGAAAATAAATTATCCAATGTAACCATGAAAAAACATCCATTTTATATCCCAATTTTATTCACCTCTTCTGAATAGTCACAACATTAATCTACCGAGGATAATCTAGTTAGTATATTTGAAATCCATTTATTTTCTCTATTGATATGCATGTATTACACTTGTTTATAATACAGAACTTCCAGCATTATCTTAAAGGACAGTTAACAAAATGAGAAATATGATCCATAACTTCAAACAAACCTAAGACAAATCTATAATTCCCAAAATAATATAGATTTCCATTTTGTGCCAATGAAATTAATATTTTAATTGATGTATAAATTTCAGATCAACCAATATCACTTTTTTATTATTCCATACAGTATTGAACCATTTTTAAATCCACTTGGAGCCATCTAATCAGTTTTATACATAATTAAAGTGAGGCAATGAGTCATTTCATTCCCTGCACTTATAGGGCAGTATGCTTTACTTCAATGTCCAAAGCATAGGAAAGCACATGTTTCAAATTTAGTTTTTTACTAAATATTCTTTTTTTATACCAATAAGCAATCTGGGTTATGAACTTTAAACTTTTTTGCAAATAATAACAGCCTAAAGCTCTCCAGAGTATATAGGTCTCCATCATGAATATCAACATATGCCTAAGTGGCCATGCCAGTCAGTTTTAAAAACACAAAATATTTCCACATCTCTCTTGAGCATGATGGTAATTCTAATAAGACAAAATCTAAAGCATCTTTTTACTAGTCTAAGATGAAGAAAACACAGAAATCCTCCCTTTACATTCCTTCAAACTATAGGTTTATGCAATATTATTACAGAACGGCTATGCAGTTTCCATTCTCCTCTCCCTTTATGTCACCAATGAAACAAAATAAGTGTAGTATAAAATTATACATTCTGTAATAACTTCAAAACAAGTATACATGTTTAAGGCCTTTAAATATTCATAAAACTTTCCAGAAGAACAGAAAACCACACATGTGAAAATGGCTACAAAAACCTGGACAAAATACAGGCAGTCCCCATATGATGAGTCAGCTTCATTCCTAAACCTATTTTAGGTTGAATCTGGAATTTGGAATCGTTAGAATAGTGAGTGGGTTGGTATTCCAAGGATTCCAAGGGATACCTCAGTCAGTCAAGGATTTGTCTTCGTATGTAGTATAATGCATCTTTCTAGACATGAAAAACACGAACAAAACACTTCTAGATGCAGGGAAACATCTTTAACATAATAATACAGCAACAATAATAATGTGAAGATGCATGTCACAAAGTAATGCCCCTTTGTTATTACAAGCATTGTACATACTTTGAATCTTTAATGTAATAGACTTTAGAGAGACTGGTTTGTACCAATGAGTTGCACGTAAGTTAGATGTTTGTAACCCAGGAACTGCCTGGACTGGTCTAAGAAATTGTTTGAATGCAACAACTATAAGGAAATATCATATACACTTGAGACCAAGGAAAAAGTGAACAAGTGATCAATCAACAGACTAAACAAACCAATATATAAGCATCCAGACAGTCATTGGGATCAAGCAAGAGACAGTCTACTAAAGTGAAATATAGAGAATGCTTAAAAGAAAAAATAACCACTACAAGAAATCTAAGTGCATAACTTTCAAGCTAAAAATAAATCAGAAATGCATATGCATCCCTGGAAATTGTTTTTGAAACTGAAGGCTACCCACTAATTTCTGTGAAGGATAAAAGAAAGAAAGAAGTGCTTTTAAAGAAACAAGGGGAGAAAATAATAAAGAAAGGAAATTGTCTAGAGGTACCAAATCACATATGATGAAAATGGTAACCCACTTCTAACCACCACTTACGTAATTGACAAAGAGCTGCAGTAGTATGTTAGCCTTGGGGAAACATGTCAGTTTGGCTATACATTCGTGTATGATTGATGAATTCAGGTAACTATTACTTGCCAGCAATAATTAGTATCAATGGATATATATTTCCATTCCTTTAACAAATGCAACTTTGAGATGTTAAAATACGTAGGCTTTCAGAGCTCCAAGACTAGGACACAAATACATCGTCTCTTTCTATGCCATGCCAGAGGAGAAGTTCTGCAAAGAGAATGTCATTCCAGTCATGTGCTGTCCCATTGGCCCACGGACCCAGGACCCAGGAATACATCCAAGCCAGAAGGGCAGTGCATTGGGGAGCTGCTTCCCGGAAAAAGAAATTAAGTCACATCTGGAGCCAAGAGCCCTAAAGGTGACTGTCTCTGACATCACCCTGGAAACACCAACTCTTCACTCCCTTTGCCCTGGACATCTGCGAAGTCCTTCCGGAAGGACAGTTCTACACGCTGAAGGCAGGTCAAATCTGACGACAACTTCACGGCATAGAAGTTCGCGTCTGACTTTTAAAAAGTCTTGATTTCAAGAAGAGGCTAATTACAAGCCATGGAATCCCTTGTGCAACAGACTCCCCAGAGAGCCTGCTCTGAATGGTATAAAAAGCTTCCTTCAAGATCACCCCAAGAGTTAAGTTTCTATGCATATATTCAATGCAATCAGCCTTGAGGATCACTTGATTTATCCTTGGTTAATGGGTTACCTACGAAAGAAGAAGAACACGTGATTAACAGTATATAACAGTGATAATTTCACAAGTAAACACAAGTTCATATTAGAAGCTAGCAGCTATCTCAAAAATCTTTCTTTTTCTTTCAGATAGATTGCTTAATTTTAGAGGACGATAGCTTTCAGACTTTGCTAACATACATAGAAAAATATGCCTTTTTCCTTCTATTTTATCATGTCACATTTCTTGAGCTTAAAAGAAAAAAGATACTTTCACAATTATCCAAACGACCCTAACTCTGACTAGCATGATCTAAACTACAGCTATTAGTCCTCTCAGATGCACAGTATGGTTCTAGAATTATTGTTCTGTTCAAAGACTTGGTAGAAACACCCAAATATCATAAGTAGCTCATACCAGACCTCAGTGACTAGAGATCTTCATTCACAGGTCACATTCTACAAAAATCCCTTTGCAAATTAATTATGTAAGCAGTTGGAAGGGGAAATATAACTAAGGATAATATGATGTTTTACCAAACTTTAGAAGTACTCCCAAACTCGTAGAAACCTGATTAGGGTATTGTTACCAGTGATATTATAAATGCTATTGGAAAAGATTCACATCGACTTTTCATAACTACTAATGAAGATTGATGCACAGAAAAATGTGTAATAGAGTATTTAATAACACACACATATATACATGCACATTTCTGCTGCGCCACTGATTTTCTGTTGTTGTTTTTACCTATCATCAAGGTGGTACTGATTCATAGGACCCCAATGTACAACAGAAGGTAAACACCGTCAGGTCCTAGGGAGTCCTCACTCCTTATTACTATTGTTTGAGTCCATTTTTTCAGCCACTATATCAATCCATCTCATAAGGTCGTCCTCTTTCATTTGCATTTTTACTTTACCAAATGGATTTACTGTTCCAATATCAGAGAACTAAGAGTTCTCTAAGAGTTCATCTGGTTTATATTAGAAAATATATTTTTATAAATCATTATTGATATTTTCTATCATTCATTTAAATTTTATAACAATTTTCCCCTTGATAAAACATTTTTAAAAGGCTCTTTTTTGTTGGCAGTGATTTGCTGTTTTCTATTCATCTAGGATGAGAGGAGCCTTTGAAAAAGTATTGCGTTCTAGACTTTGTTCTCTCAAGGCTGGTCTTGAATTAGACTACAAAGGGGCAAGGCTTGCTTACGTACAGAAGCAACCAACTTGTTTTCAGCTAGCCTCACTCCAGAAGAAAGAAACTCTGCCTGAGTACCTGAAGTGTCTTACTGCTGGGCACAGAGCTCCCAGAGAGAGAAATACACTCTGGCTGAGAGGAGCAAGCACCCGAAGGTCACAGTCTGCTGACCTATCGACCTCATGGGAGCAGGAGGTCATGTCGACAGGACAGCGATCTCACTGAAAATATGCCTGTCACTCAGAGATCGTTTCATGTAAGTGATACGAAGGACTGGCAGCCAGACTACAGGTGTAAGAATTTGGGTAGCAAATTGGAATACCCCTGTGAAATATAGGGAAACCTATTTTTATGATCATTCTCTCTAGTAACACTGAATGATCACAGATGTTTATTTCCGTGGGATGAGAGTCATCTGCCTTTTATGAAAATTCTTTTCTTTATAGGAAAATCTATGAGGATAATATCTCTGAAACGAGTCTTGAGATGCCAGGAAGAGAGAGAAGGATAAAACAAACATTTTGCCTCAACAATGTCTCAGCTCTGGGCACCTAGGGAACCATGTTACAACGACCTCTGGCCCCCTTGAAGGCAAGGGGCACGTAGTCCTGAGCCATTTCAAGTCCCGAGTTTACGCAGACATCCAAATGTACAGGATAATACCAAAGGCTCTTGTAACTAGATTTATTTTTTCTCCCTATTTTTCAAGGGAAAAGAAAGAATTGATATATAATGTTTGTATATATACACCCAAAACATACACACATGTTTCTTCATAGGGTCTATATTTATATGTGTTTCTGCATAGGTTCTATGCTAAAACATACATACATGTATTAAAAATAAACTCGCTGCCATCCAGTTGATTTTGACTCATAGTGACCCTATAGGACAGAGTAGAGCAGAGTTATATATACTATTACATATATAAATATTATACATGTATGTACATATATGTGTGCGTATATATAAGGGCTTTCTACTTCTGTAAAAGTTATAGTCTCAGAAACCCACAGGGACAGTTCCACTCTGTCTTACAGAGTTGCTATGAGTTGGTATCTTTTTGATGTCAGTGAGCTATATGTACTTATATACATGAATAAGTATATATAATCCATGAACTCCTGAATCGCTTAAATTCACGTTCTTATACAGTCAAAATAATTATTGAAAAACAATAAAATCTAAACCAGACTTTTAAGGTAATTGTGTCAATAATCATAAATCAAAACATACTGCAGATGACCTTTTTCACATTCCAATTTTACACACGGTTCCTAATTTACTAATCCAAAAGCTATCCGAGCATATTTTATGAGATAAGTAGGGCTTAAATCATTTCAAATAGCTGATGAAAATGACCACCCTGTTTTAAATTTGAATTTTCAGATGATTTCATTTTGATTGGCGGACACATTGGGGTTTGGCAGAATGCTGGTGTTGTGTCTGTGTGCCTGTTAAACTAACTGCATCTGGCATGTCACCTCTACAACCCTCAGTCTCCTCATTTGTTTATATATAGCATGATCCTGAACATCTCACAGAGCTGCTGGGAGGATCAAATAGCAATATTTATGAACACACTTTTTGAAACAGTATGAAAATGAAACTATTCATTTTGTCATCACTTTATTATTTTGAATGCATACACTTTTAAAGAGAGCACCAAAGAAACAAAATGGAATGGTCACACTAACAAGTGTTCAGTCGAGGTGGAGGACTACATGCTTGGAATTCAGAGAAAAATGAACTCATAACCCACCTTTTCCAAATAATACAAATGTGGACATGTGTGAACACACACAAGCATGCAACTTCCAGAACTGCACCAAAGGAAACTGCCAAACCAAAGATTGAAAACTCTGTAGGAGATCATACTGAAGGTAGGGACATTACTGCCAATGGAAGTCACTTTGTGTGTAAGAGGTTGACTTGATGGTGCGCTGGTTGCAGCTACGCTGCTAATTGAAAAGCCTGAAGTTCAAACTTACCAGCCACTCTTCATGAGAACAATGTAGCGGTCTGCTTACAGCCTTGGAAGCCTGTGGGGCAGTTCCGCTCTGGCCTGAGAACCGTGGTGAGTTGGAACCAACTCAACAGCAGTAGGTTCGGATTTGCCTTTTGAGTACAATAAAAGACTACTATTTTAAAGTAAAATGATCTAAAATTTAATAAGGAATCAACCTTCTTATGGTTCATTTGCTCATTAAAGAAGTACAAGGGATTCACATTTAAATCTTGGCATGTTTGGGGGAGTTGAAGGGGGACAAATTCAATGACCCTTTGTAAACTATAAATGGCAGCAGCCTGGTATGTGAGAACTGCTTAATCAATATATATCCAACCCATCACTTAAGTTGTATCTTTTGGAAGGCAAAAGAGTAAGTTTTACCTTCTGAGGAAGATTTTCAGCAAGTTTTCAGTAACTAAAAGTAGAAGGTTTCAATAAAGCCAGTTTTACAGGCTGGAGTATAGCATTTTCTACCACGAATACTCATTCTCTTCTGGTTCTGAGGGCAACAGATACTACACGAGGGGGAGAACCAGCCCTATAATCATTATTATTATGCCTTGAGCTGCATACTCTATAATCGCTAGCTCAGTAAATTTGCCTTTCCAAAGGCAATATTTTACACAGCTGTGCTTTTTAATGTAAATCTTACTTCCATGCACTGCACACCAGCCAATTTGGTGAGTGAAACTACTCGGGGCTGCTGAACTTGTGTAAAAATGTAACGATGTAATAATAACAACAACAAGTCAATCTGATGTCATTAAACAAAGAACACTGTTCTTTCAGGAGATTGTAACCATACCCCCAGCCCATCCAGGAAGTACTAGGATAGGGCTGTGATTCAATTTCCAAAAGTTCATACTAAAACCATTGGTTAAGTCTATTTGCCAATTTAAAACGGGAGAATAAAGCCAACTAAAGGGGACGTCATCAGTTGACTGAGTCGTCATCAACATTGCCAAGTTGACTGAGTCATGGAGATCTCATGTGTGGCAGAGTGTGACTGCTGCCCTCGGGTGGTTACTGGCGGATGTGGGCAGGGTGGGAAGTGGGGTGAGGGCTGGAGGTTAAGAATAAATCACCAAGCCTCTCTTCGGAGGAGTATCTGAACCTCCTAGGAGACTTGAACCTCCACATTTTGGTTAGCAGCCAAGTGTTTGCACTTTCCAGAGATTCCAAATGACACAACATATTACATTTGAAATTCAGAAAGGCAAACATGTTATAGTTTTCATTTGATATTTTAAGGACTCTAACACTTCCTCTGCCTAGCTTCAAATTAAGGGTAAATATGCTCTTACAAAATTTAAAAAATAGTATAGAGTGGCGAAGTCTATAATCCTCTCCCTTTCCTCCACCCCATGTCTCAGTCACATTGACTAGGGTATCAAGAGAAGCGAGTGTGTGATGGTGAGATCCATAATGACAAACAGGCGAGCTCTAAAGGCTAACTGCTTGGGTTCAAATCCCTGCCTCTCCACTTTCTAACACTCAAAACTCACTGCTGCGGAGTCGACGAGGACTCCGATGGACCCTGTGGGACAGGCTAGACCCTCTGGGACCCTCAGGGACAGGACCCTCCTCTAAGTTTCCTAGCCTATCACTGTCTCCCAGAATGGAATATGGAGATGATACTATGACCATTCTCATACATTTGCTATTATTATGTAAAAAGACAATCTCTGCAAGGTGCCAGTCCTAATAAATGCTCTTAAAAATATTACCCAGTGGTAGAAGCAATAGTTTCAAACTAAGATATGAAACTTAAGCTATAGGCTACCAATCTGAAGGGTTATAATTATTTCTCTACAAAATATTGACCTAATTAGAATTTGCTGTGTCTTTTCATAACTGTTCTTGCACTTATTTTTCTTTTTCTTCTTAATCAAACAAGTGACTTGTCAAGGACGTAACACCGCTGTTTTGACAGGCTCTTTTCAGACGAGGTGACACAGAGTAGCGGGGTAAGAGTTAAGTACCCTACAGCCAGACTGACTCGATCAACCCTCAGTTTGGCTGCTGATTGATAAACAGAAATACTGTTAGTCCCCGGAATCTCTGGATAGTGGAAACAGTTAACACACTTAGCTACTAATCGAAAGGTTGTGGATTCAAATCCACTCAGAGGCAGCACAGAAATCCCAACGATCTACTTCAGAAAAATAGGCCACTGGAGTCCCAGGGGTACATTCTATTCCAACAGACATGAACTCACATTGAGTAGGAATCAACACAACAGCAATAGGTGCTAGTTATTAGATCATAAGGTTATATGAATACTTAGAACAATGTCTGGCAATATAAGAATCCCTACAAAAATACTTTGAAAAGATCACTGCTATCGAGTCAGTTCTGACTTGTAGAGACCCAGAGTTCTGAGACTGTTTTACATAGGAGCCCTGGTAGTATCGTGTTTATGCAATGACTTCTAACTACAAGGTCAGCAGTGTGAAACCACTCTCCACTCATGGCAAGAAAGACAGGGCTTTCTACTCCTATAAAAGTTCCAGTCTTGGAAACCCACAGGCCCAATTCTCTGCCCTATGGGCTTAATATGAGTCGGAATCAACTCAAAGGAATGTAAATATTGGCTATTATTATTCAGATAGGAAGGGGCTTAAAATATTGTTGGAAATATTCCAATATCTTTTCATCCCATTTTCCCACACATTTTTGCATGTACTTTTTAGGGCTGATGAACTCATAGAATTCTGGGTTTACACTCTTGATTACTTCTGAATGTAAATTACTAGTCTTCTCAGGCATGCCACCCACTTTCTTATTCTTTTATTTTTCTTCTTCTTCTTTGCACTTTTGGGAAATGGTGCTGCATTGTAACCATGCAGGCATTTAAAAATGATGCAGGATGATTACATCCAAACAACAAAAATGATGTGTTTATGTTCTTGGTCATTATCAATCATTCCTGTAATAGTAGTTTTTCGTTAGTTAGGTTCTCTGACATGGTCCAGATTTCTCTTTAATTGCATATGTTCAGTTGACCAATTTGCCTAAGTTTGTGAAATGACTGCCAACTCTCCACTGCCTGACTGTGTGTCTTCCATCACCTCAGTTTAAATCACAAAATGATCTCTTCTCTTCTCCAGGGTGGACATTCAAGTTTTGTTGTAGGGAACCGTTATACAGTGTCTACATTCTTGTACCATGAAGTAGGTCACATGTATACAATGTTTAAAAAGACCATGCATTATGGACATGGTGGTCATTTCCACTTAAAAGGAGTTAACGTCTCACTAAAACACCCATGTTATTAAAGAACCATTTGTGTTTGGACTGGTGAACAGTATTTAAGCCATGGGCAGACACGGGATATTGTGGCGATATTTCCAAGGGCTAGTGGCAGGTTGAATTGCCATTCATGCCCAATCTCTGTGCTGCAGCTGCTTAATAACATCACATAGAGGCATCATTCCAAATAAGCGTTTCAATAAATAAATTTAACTTATTCAATAAAAGTATCGCAAAGAATAGAATACCTTCATAATCCTAAATGCTGATTTGAATGAACTTTACTTTCCTTGACTATAATTGCTCCTTTACTGCAAATGTTGTTTTTTTTTAATGAAGCTCTTACAAGTACATGAATTAAGCTCTCACCTCACGTTTTGTGTACTAAATGTGCAATTAAAGCATCATTACTCTGCAGTAGCAGGGTTTCTTATTTCAGCTAGAGAAAAGCTGCTAAATCGGTCATAACTGTACAGCAATGCACTTGTTCTTTCTTAGAGGACCTTACACAACAGTGAGGTACTACAAAGCACCATACACTGGGTGCTCTGAATAATGGCGCACAAGCAAGCTGGTCACCAGCTTTTGGTTACTTGTGACTCACTCTAAAGCAATGGCATAATAATCATAAATATATATTAGGCTGTATTTTGATTTCATGATGTTGCAGTTCATTTCTGTAGACTTCTAAAACAAAAAACCAACCCCCCAAATCTCACTGCCATCAAGTCAATGCTGACTAATAGCAGCCAGTAGGAGAGGGTAGAACTGTCCCTTAGAGTTCCTGAGACTGTAAATCTATGGGAGGAAAGCAGCCCTGCCCTGCTCTTGCTGTGGTGGTTTCAAAACCTGGCAGTTAGCAGCCCAGTGGGGAACTGCTACACTACCAGAGCTCCTCCATAGACTGCTAAAAGACTGTATTTTCATCGCACAGTTTCATCTTCCCTTCAAATGACTGCTAGTACTCGGTTGGCAGAAACTTTCATTTCACCAATTGGGACACCAAAGGTCACCTGTTTTACTATCTTAATTATGGTCAGTAGTTCCACTCAATGACCTTTAACTATTCTTACATACCTACTCTATACATTCTCCGTAAGTCACTCTGACTGCTGACTGGAAAGATATTCCTTTAAAAAACGGAGCATTTCTGTAGCTAATTGATCAGATTCCCATGTAACTCAGTGTGGCTCACCATATGGAAGCACCAAATGGAATGAGCTCCTGGTCTTGGCATGTGCTCTTCCTACACTGCTGCTCCCTCTGGATCTAAGTAGACACCTAGACAGATGGAAGGGCCAGTGCCCCACGTCTATGTGAGCAGTGGTGGCCTTGCTCGGAGAGTCATGAGACCAACGTTTTGTACCAGTTTTTCTACTTACTAGTATTAGCCAAGTCACTTCCTTGACCCTCCCATTAGCCAAATCCCTTAAAAAAAACACTGAATCATCATGGTTCATATCTGCTAAGTGAGCCAATTGGACTCAGTGAGCTTCTAATTCCATTTTAGTCTTCAAATTACTGTGATTTTCTTAAAATGTGATGTGCTAATCCCAAATGGCGTGAAACTTTGTCCTGATCACCTACAGTCATTGGCACTATAACAACCGTGTAGACTTAATTTTTCTAAAAAGCCTAATCATGCTATTTGGATGCGGAACGAGTACGCTCTTACCACCAATATAACATCTGTTGATGACTTTCCGCCTCCTGGGCTGTGTGAATGAAGATCTCACTGGCAATGAGTCTTTTGAACAGATGGACCAGCACTATTTCTTGGAACTTTGAAAGCTGTACAGTGTGTCTGCCACAACTCTTGTACATGACTTGTGCACGCAGATGACTCTTTGCATTGCCCTCTCTGCACATTCGTACACCGGGGCAGAGCCACTGATCCTATGTAATGAACATTCGCTGTTAGACAGAGCATCCCCTGATTCTTCTTTTGGTAGCTCATAAATTGCCTTATGAAAAGTTGCCCATTTCCTTTCTCTCTGCCCCTTCTCCTCCCCTGCCCCCCACCACACGTATCTTCCTTCTATTACATGTTCAACATTCCAAAAATTAAGATAACACTGAAAGACAGCAGTAAAAATTATTCGGAAGCATTTTAAAAAGCTTATGGACGGGAAAACCGTGATTATAAGTGCCATGAGAAAGCTGGCCCTTTTTTCGATCGGATCCCATATGCCTGCAGACTTCACATATATGTTTTTGAGACAAATGAGATTTGAAATTCAAGTGGAATGTATTTGACTTGTGAAATTTGATATTAGGCTCATTTGTTAAGACCCACCTGTCATTGGTAAAGTAGTAATTTGAATTGATTTTTTTAATCCACTTTGCACCATGAAGTGTTACTTCAAAAATTTATATCTCATCAAGTGTCACGCTCCTCAAGAATTTTGGTCGCCCTTTATGAGTACCAGTAGAATCAGTAGAATTAAGCACTAAAAATGGTGTTTAAATAATGAATTTAACAAAAGTGAAGTTTGGGGAGAAGGGCTCAAACTTGTCTAAGTCCATAGATTTCTAAGAGAATAACTTGTTTTCTTAGTTTCCTGGTTAGTTTGAGTTAAAAGCACAAACAGCCCTTACTCACAACCTGTCTGTCCTTTAGGATCTGTGCCCGAATGAGGAAAGCGTTGCTGTCACTTGGTCAAAGACCAGGTACTGTTGTTGAGGGCCAAAGCCAGTACTGCAGTCTCCGAAAGCCTGCCCGAGGCAGCACACGCTGTCTTCTGCATCTCTGTTTTTGCCATGAAATTATTTCACGGTGATCATGCTACATGTGGTGGAGCTTATTAAAACCTCGAACAAACCTCCCTGTCTATAAATTGCAAAACTAAGAATAATCACTTTAACTTCCTCTTAAAGTCCATTTCTGAAGATCAGGACAGCATATACGATGCATGCTCAGGTTTCTATTACCCATTTCCTGTCCTTAGGAAAGTAATATACAGCCTGCAGAGGCCTTGGAAGATGACAATACAGGGTGTTCCAGCAATAACATATTTGCCTTTGAGGCTGATTTGATTAAATTTGTGGGCCTCATATCAGTTCAAAGATTGAGGAAGCCCCAACTCCCACTTTTGTATTTTCCCAAAGATAAATTCAATGCTTTTGTTTACTGACTGCTGAGGCAACCATACTTGCCTTTTGAGATCTACAAGTACATCACGTTCATGTTTTAATTTTTTTTAATTCCGGGGACCCACATGATAATAGTAACTACGCAAAAGCGTCAATCAGTTAATCCTGCTAACATGGCGTACACACCTGCTGCTCTGTGAGAAATGAATGGAGCCGGGAGCCCGTGTCTGGAGCTGTTTGGAATCTTTACTCCTCAACGAAAGTTCCGTCCCTTCCTCAGAATCCGATCAACACTAGGACTCGCCACAACTAGCGCTCCAACGAGGAGCCGGCATTTTTTTTTTTTGAGAGTGGAAATATCAAAAATTGTCATCAGGTAGAGCGGAAACCTTCTCTTTCTATTTTCCATTCGAACTTGAAGAGTTTTACACGTTTGCCTAAGGAACAAACATATGTCAGGGACTCCACTGTTCAACAGATTTTACAGGAAGCAAACCTGGGAGAGAGGGAACATTTCAACAAGCGTAATGGGACAGCAAGACAGTAAGTTCCCTTACCTCCAAAACAGTTCCACAGGGGAATAATTTGGCATCTTTCCCCAAAAATTATATACTCATAGGACATGATTTTCAATTTTTCAGGAACTCATACCAATAAATTGAATAAAAAATAATTTATTTTTATGAGGGATTGAAACAAAGATAGTAAGAACTTATATTTTGAAAAGCATTCTGCAAAAACCTAAGGGTAAAAATTCATTAAGATCATTAAAGAGAATATACATAAAGCAAAGGACAATCATTTTAACATAATAAGGCATTTAATTGTCGAAACAATGTTAGGTAGCAATATTTGATTAAAATATAGGAATTAATGTTTGAAATTTGAGCTCATTTGTAGCCTTCCTGAAAGTCCATCCTGATGGTGATTTGTAATTTACAGAGGCCTGGACTTTCATGGCACATACTTTAAGGCTGATCTGGAAGGATAAGTCACATAACCAGCCACCTATTGACATTCCGTTCTCAACTCAGCTTTGATATTCTCGACTCACTATTAGCTGTGTGACATTCATTAACAGTCTGAATGGAATTTATGACTTTTTTCAGTTAGAATTTATGATGTTATACATAAATCAGAGACCACAGTGGTGTTTTGAATTTTCCAGCAGTCATAAATTTCTCTGACTCTCAAATGTTTTATCTGTCATCTCTTTTCCAATATAATCCAGAGACATAAACATATGCACTATTAGAATTTCAAATGTGTAAGTAATAATTTAATATATAAGATTATAGTATATGAATAACAACAAAAATAATAGATCATAGAAGGAAACTGATAATATAGAATCAAGTGACAAGGGTCTATGCAGTATGAAGCAATAGTAATTTGGATAGTTAGAAGTATTAGCAAATAAAGACTAATGATATCATAGTATTTACGGATATTTCTCATTTTTTAAAATTTTCTGAATCTTTGAGCAATAAGAACAGTTCCCCTTAGCCCATCACTGCTAGCTTTGCCCTCTCCTACCTAACCACAGAATTAAAGACTAGAACTTCATTTGAGGACGAGCACAACTTTAAAGCTCAGGTTATCGAGGCTTTCTCTAGATAGAGCAGAGCCAACACAGCCATGGCTGTCAGTGGACACCCAGAGCTGAAGGCAAAGGTTAGAGCTCAAGACGAGGGAGAGGGCTTCACAGGCAGCCTTCAGGGTAAAAAGGGAGCAGATGGAGAAATATGCCATTTGCACATTTCCAATTCTCTATTTTGTCGACATCGTTCAAAACTTGGAGTCTTTCGGGGAATGCTCTTAATTCCGTGTTCCATCTGAACAATCTAAGAATGATGGCAAGTGCTTTCCTTCATCTCTTTGATTTCTTGTCAGATCTTAAACAGTATCCATCTCTCTAATGGGTTCCCTAGTCCATATAGCACTGTCTACGCCTTAATTGAAGGCTTCATTCAATCTTGTTGTATAATTTTACAAACTTTCGATTTTGTCTCCCTGATTTCTCTGGTCCCTTACATTTCCTTTTCCTCTTTACCACAATTGAGCTAAAAAAGAATATATGTGTGTGTGTGTGTGTGTAATAGTGCCCCAGTATTAAAATAAAACCCCAAATAATTGCTAGTGATGTCATTCATGATTCGATCCCCAACCCACCCATCATCGTCTTTCCTTCCCAACTCCTTGACCCACTATAGAAATGCTTCACTAATTAGTGCTTCCCTTAAGTAATACGTAGTTAATAATATATTCATGTAATCATTCATATTCATGTATCCCTATCTTTATGTAGATTTTAACATTGCCTGAAATATTCTTCTTTCAATTCCCAGTAGAGGTGCTACCACTCTGAAAAGCCTTCATAATTAATCTAGTCAGTAAACACTTTGACCATACTTCTATTGTGAGACATATCTTATCGTACAATGGTTAATTACTAACTTGTTTATTTCTCCCACTTAACTATGAGGTATTAGAGAAAAAGAATGTTAGTCGTCATGTGCAAAAGCAGAATTCCTGATATAGAATTGTATCAACTATCTTGAATAAAAGATTAAGAAAGAATGGATTGATAGCTGAAAGAATAGATGAATGCATGAATGAGCCAACAAATGAATGGATAATGGAGGAACTATAAGTAATTTCAGAAAAATAAAGAAAATTGGGCTACTATTGGGATTCTTGCTGAACAGCAAGGGGAATGCTTAGGCAACCCAAAATGTCAACTTCTCCATTTTTAACTTTAAAGAATTGTTTTTCCCAGATTGTTCTACCTCAGATATTTAAATTTATTCTCATTTAGAAAAGGTCTGATTTCTCAATCAAAATTAATTCAAGAAAATAATAATGCAAGGTGATCATAGTGATCAGTGATGCTTTCATTGGTCTTAGACTAACCACTGGGAGGTGGACACTGTCCAAATGGACGCGTCAAGGTTGACGCTGGCATATTCATGACAGTTAACACCTCAGTTATAAAGGATCTTAATTTTTTTTAAAATGTGCTTCAACTCTCTGGAGTAATTTCCATACTGCTGCTTAATACTTTCAGGAAATCTTTCCCATAAAAAAATTTTGTGGTGACAATCATCTTACACCTAGGCATTATATACTCACTTAACATTAGAGAGGGTGATGCAAATATAATAAAATCTCCCATAATGACACATAGTCTACAAATTCCACAATGATTGATACACCCGCCCCAAATTATTATGCATCCAATGAAACAAGACCCACACATACATCCATGCAAAGTTACCCACTCTATTTACAGTTCAGAATGGCTGAATAGGTACAAAATAATGTTTTTTAAAAGACAAAGATAAGTTACTCTGTGCGTAACAAAAGTGCTGTAATTTTCTGGGTGAAGACTACAATATCAAAGACAGATGATCCCTCTACTCCCCAGGGAAACCCAGAGATGTCCTCACCCTCCCTTTCGCTTCCATCGCTGAAATTACATCAATAGAGAGCTTTGTTCACATCCACTTCTCTTTTAACCCTCAGAAATTTGTCTGTGAGATCGTTCCTGTTTGCCATTGGTTGGCATTACTGTCATGTCACCGCTGCTAGTGACTATTACCTGCAGCTTTACAGGTGAGGAAATCGAAGCTCAGATACATTAAGTAAATATTCCCAGATATTCGCACAAGCAGTCAGCTGTAGTCTAGAAAATGGATATCCACTCTTGAGCTTCAAGCCCAGTGAAATAAGTCCTATGTTCCTGATCCTTTCATGTATTCATTTGATTGAAACATTTTAAACACATTCAAAGTAGTAAGCCCTATTTTAGACATGAAGGGAAACAAGAAGAATAAATCTATATCTTGTGAGAGACAGACAAACAATAGCCATAATGCTTAAGTAAAATTTCAAAATACTGTATGTAGGTAATGCTCAGAGAAAAATCCAAGAGTAAGGTGGAATTTTTGAGGGAAAGTATATAATTTTAGTGACCATAGAGAGAGAAACCTTGTTTAGAAAAAACGCTTTGGGTTTTTACAGCCAGTCAAGCTGTTATTTAAAGAAAGATCATTTTAGCAGAGGGAACAGCGAGTACAAATGGCCTAAGACAAGAGCAGAAGAGGGGCCAGCCCATCATGGTGAAGTAAGCAAGAGGGACAGTGGTAGGAAAGGACATCAGAGAGATGACACATTCCTTTGCTTATTCCTGTGCCTATTCAACTGACGATACGCTGCTCCTACCCTACTTACTGAGAATAAACGGGGCAAAAAGCACACCTAGCGCTTGCTCTCATGTCACACAAAGAGACTAAATCAAAGTTACCAGGAACATAAATTGTTTCACACATTCCATGCTCCAAAGGCCTCCTACCTTGAAGTTGGAACTGAACAGAGTCCAGATGGAAAATAGAGACCTCACAGTCCTGATTTATACCTGACATCATGACTTCCTATTGGGTGACCCTGTTTGGGAGGCATCCCACGTAGGGTGACTACCCCTACCAAGGAAATTTGAATGTCATTTGACAATCCCTGAAGGCTGATGTCATCATAATAGGAATCAATGAATCTCTAATGCAAATGTTTCAGCTACCATAATAATAAAGCACAAAGGAGCATTCTTTGAAGCATAAATAATTACTGACACCTACTAATAAACATCAAATTGCTAACGAATGTTTAACATTGGCATTAAGGAAGGTTGCTTAGGTTGGAGGAGTGGGGGAGGGATAGTAGAAGATAGCACTGATGACTGTATAACCCTGTTCGAGGGGAGTGAACAACAGACTTGTCCGTGAATGGATATATTGGATGATGTAAGATAAGGCAAAAATAAAATAAGGGTATCTGGGGGGGAGAAGGGAAGGAGGGGATAAAAGGGAGCCGACATCAAGGAGCTCAAAAAGAACGAAAATGTTTTACAACTGGCTGTGGTGGCAATTGTACAATATTGCTTGATGTGATTTAATATGGAATGTGAGGATATCTGTAGCTCTCCCAATAAAATGATTCCAAATAAAAATAAATAAAAGAAAAGTGTGAGTCTAAACTGTAATCAATTAGTTTTGTTGTCCAGAGTCATGATTTCTGAGACTAAAAATAAAGTAATGGTGTACCTTATTTACATCATGGTTAAAATACAAATCCAGATAAATAAATAAATCATGAAAGGGCTGTTATGATAGGATAAAAGATTTGCTAAAATCAAGAGGTCAAGGAAGCTTTTTATACTATCCAGAAGTCTTGGTAGCACAGTGGGTTACCCATTGGCCTGCTAACTGCAAAGTCAGCAGTTTGAAACCACCAGCTGTCCTTAGGAGAGATATGAAGCTTTCTATTCCCTAAAGAATTAGTCTCAGAAAACCACACAAAAATTTCGACA